CCTAAGAGCCCCCCACCCAACATTGACTGAAGCCTTACATTCAATGCCACCAACAAAGTTCTTTACATTTGTAAAATTGTGTTAGAAAAACATTTACAGAGTGAGATTGTGTTTGTTTGGCCTCATCAGAACACACAGTTGCATGACCGACCGTAGTATGATGCAGAGGAGACAAAAGCCAAAGTAGAAGAGGGCGGTGAATAGGTAGGCCAGAGGGATGTTGTAGGAGAAGTCCCTGTCCTCCACCATAGTATTACTGTAGTAGCCGTAAAACAGATAGGAATACTCCATAAAACCCTACACAGAGGAAGAGAATATCAATATTTCAGACATATCATATGTATTTGGATGTTTACTTTTGTTTGTTTTTTTTAACAAGACTTAAATTCCAATTTGGATTAAAAAACTTTATTTCATGTAACTTTATCACATCATCTTAGTGGTAAAGTACGTCCGTAAAGTACAGTCGTAAACGTTGTGCTACAAGTAATAAATCACATCTTGATTTCACTTTACTTCACAGATGTTTTTTACCATGAAAAATTAACAAAACATTTCAGCTCAGGTTAACATTAACCTGTCCATCAACAACGTCTGATTGTTTAGAAAATCCCACAGAACACAGTCTCTCACCGTTCCAGAGAGTAAGTCAAGGAAATAGTTATAGAAAAGCACCAAGCCTGGAGGATGAGGCTCGTACTTCCTACATCCCTCTGGACCTGGAACACAAGGGACAGAAGACAGGTTTCTTTTAGCCTGACTATACCATGAGCCACTGCACACACGAGCAGAGGTTATTTACCAGTGCTGTTGGTATAACTGGACTCAACAGATCTGAAGACAATGCTGGGGATAAGGACAAATGCAGCAATCAGTAGGAAGGACACAAAGTTGAGGACCACCAAGAACCGCAAAAACACAAAGTAAGACTGGACGCCACCTCCAAAGTTGCCTACAGCATCAAACACAAGATCATTATTATTTCACATTGATGTCAAGTCATTGTGTTGGTTGAAAGTGTAAACATGTGGTACCTCCAATCTTTTGTAATGACTTTCTCCACAGGGACAAAACATAAAGAAGTTCTCTGCTGTTGTTTTTGACTTTTCTGAAAGTTTTGGTCTTTTTTCTTTTCCACGAATCCTTGTTGGAAACCACTGGTGCCTGACTGTGCTGCACCTGCCTGGAAATGACATATTCTCCAATATTACAGTAAATAATCTCAAGTATGTATCATCCAAATACTACCCATCCATGGATCCATCCCTCCCTCCCTCCCTCTCTTTATCTCCCTTTATCTACAGCTAATGACAGCTGGATTGGGTAACCCCAAAAGGATATCAAATGAATAAACTGAAGATGTGTCATTAAAGGTGAAAGCTGATAAAAATGTGTCTTCCTACCACGCAGCTCTTTTCAGGGCCATGGTCAAAGGTTTTTCTCGAAGGTCCCAGTCTGTATCTCCTTCCTCTGTCCTCTCCTCCTCAGCATTGTCAGGAGAATGTGACGTCCAGTTGAACTGTGAGTAGTTCTGATTAGACCACGTCCTCCGTAACCTCAGCGACGGCAACTCACCAGGACAGGCAGTCCCTGTGAAGGGTTAAAGAGGGTTCATATCCAACATGTTTACTTCCTGTCATCAGAGCAGACATATAAACAGTTTACCTGAAGCTTCACTCAGTAAAATGTTGGCCATTCTCTCATGCAGTTGAACAGTTTAGAAACAGAAAAGAAAGCTGACGTGAGTCCAAGCAGGAATCGTCTCTGCACTCTTCTCTAGATGGACTTTGCTTCCTCTATTACTGACCACACAGCTACTTCCTTGTATGTTTTAACCCATTATGTCCAGGGAGACCGTCACCTGTGCTCAAATCAGAGTAAACAGGAAAAACAAAACACAGTGTGTTGCTGAGGAAACAGCAATGGAAACAATAGACGGCTTTAGTATTATTCACTCCAGTTTCTTAGTTTAAAATAAACTTTATTGTTACCTCACTATGAACTAAGCAGGTGTGTGTGTGTGGTGTTTAGTCACAAAAGCTTCAATTCATTGTTTTTTTTCTGACTGTCAGTGGAACAACAACATGTTTGGAATCTTTTTTTCCATCAGATTCTTTGTTGTACAAAAAACTATTTCTGTCAGAATGCACGTCAAATGAATTTATGAAATAAATCAGGTTCAAAACTGGAATGCATTTTGAGAGGAGAGTGAAGCTCAAGTTAGTACACACATCATTCACACACACACTGGGGTCAACATTTCTAGTTCCACTGAAGTACCAGGATCTGAACATCCAATCATCAACTCCCAGCATGTCTGTGGGTGGTTTAACCTCTGGTCAGCGGCCCAGCTGGTGTTAGATGGTCTGTCCAGGACTGTAGACTGATTAATGTTGTCGAGGACAACGACTGGACTGAAGTCTAGAGAGAACCAGGTTCCACAGGTTCTACCTGACCCGTTCCAGAAGAACAGTCAGGACTGAAATAAAGCGACAACTATAAAAACAGGTGAGAAACACTGACACCTATCTGCTGATGTTAGTACTGTCTGTTCCAGTGAAGAACAGAAAAATGATCTTTTGTCAAATTTAGGAATGTTCATCTATTTCTATTACATTTGTGGTTAATACTAATCCTGAATAAACTTGACTGTGTCTTATTGACAGCTATTCTGTGAATAATCAGGTTTAAAAATTGTAATCTGGTCTTGGTGTTCTGTCACGTTTCTAAATGCAAAAACAAGTAAATAAAAAACAGACAAAATAAATCATTTGGAACGACTGCTCACATTCATCCTTGTGATGCAACAGTGGAAGAGAAGATAAAACAGACCTGTGACAGTGAAGTTTGGCACAAGGAAGACCACAGAAAAGCAGCAGAAAAACATGAAAATTCAATTGATTTCTAAGAAAAAAATTCAAAAACAAAACAGAAAAAAAGAACATTCCTGTTTTCCTAATTAATTTGAAGAGAACCACTCATCAATGTCTGATGACGGACATTTTTTTTCAGATTGTTCAAATGTAATTCTCATCTTTAGAAAGGTTTATTCAAAAGTTGAGTTTCACTACTGACACGTATCAATGCTGGAAAAGAACAAAAATCAACTGTAATGATGATCCGACACATGAGCACGTGAGCTCTTACTACAGGAAGAAGATGAATAGGTAAAGTCAATGTTTGGTCCTCGGGGTGACTGGTCCACAATGGCAGTGCAGGCGTGACAGCAGTGAACAGACCTTTTTTTTCACTTTTCACTGTGATACAGTGATGCAGTGCATACTGTACTAATACTACTACTACTACTAATACTACTACTACTACAGAGAAGAGTCAGAGACAACTGAACAAAAACAACAGAGTGATTCTGGATCAAAGGTCAAGGGGTTCAATATTAAGTAACAAAAAACAGGTCCTGATGACCATGGTGTTTTCATCTACATAGCTGTAGTGCCCAGGGTGCCTTGCTCAGAGCACCTCAGTGGTAACTTGGCAGCTCGTGGACTTAACCACCATTACTGAGGTCATTTGTTCAAAAATGGAACCAGTTTTTAACAGTTATGGTTTTATTCATTGAAACCCGGGTCCGGCTGCCGACTTGTGAACCTGTAGGATGTGACAGACGTTCCTCTGTGATCCAGGACTACAGGGGCAGCTGTCTGGATTCACTGGGTCTTAACAAGATGTTTCTTACACTTCAATTGTTTGTTTGTACTGTTGAATTTTTAGTCTTGAAATAAATAATTGTTTTCAAAGATATTCCCTTGCAATTAATTTCTTTGAATCAATTTAGTCCACTTTTTCCTGTTCATCCTCATTCATCTTTTCTTTCTCTACCTCCTTGTCTCCTTTCCTTCCTCCCCTCCTCCCGTCCTTAAATATCCTGCCCAGTATTATACACAGAAGGGCGATGATGTGCACAATGAAGTAGATGGATGACCAATAGTTGATGGTGTCAGAGCCACTCAGCAGTACAAAGGCCATGCACATATAGTCATAGGCCCTCATCTTTAGGAACCACTGGACCCAGTCAAAGATGTTCTGCCCACGAGGACCCAGTCTGGACCTGACGGAGGCCTCCATGGCAGATTCGGCTGCGATGCACAGCGGGATAGTGAGGAAAGAGAGGTAATATCCAACATGGAGTCCATGCCAGTAGGCACTGATGAACATGGTCCAGGCAGCCCTGTGGGTCAGACCAGAACACAGTGAGGTTTATAACACTCCGCAGCCTGTTACTGTAGGTCAGTGATGAGACATTTAGACTGCCATGGTCAGTAGACTGTGCAGCACAGTCCACGTTCACCTGGGTCAGTGTGACAGAGAATAAATGTGAATATTTAAAATGACAAATGTCACATCAATATCTATCAATGTTCATTTTAGCAGCCGATGTATGTAATATGTACCTGATCTAGGCCACAGATACTTCACTGTGTGTCAGTCAAAATATATACATACATATATATTTACTATATAAGCAACATAAAATACACACAAATGATGTGTGTCAGGAAGTTCTTCCTTAATGAATTCTTATGGGAACATTCTTTGTTACACGTACATGAACATTAATAATGTTCTATCAAAGGCAGAGTTTTCTTCGTCAGTCTGATTCGGACATACGGCATAAAGACTACAGCAGTCAGGCTGCTCTGACACCAGCCGGCCGCTGACCAGAGGTTGATACACTCACAGACATGCTGGCAGTTGATGATGGCATGTTAAGATCCAGGAAATTCAGTGGAACTACAACTGCTGACCCCAGTCTGTGTGTGGCAGCCCCTGATAAACTTGCAAAAATTTTTTAGGCTGGAAAATTAATAGAATTTCCACTCAGGATCCCACATTCTAATGAAATGTCTCTTCCATCAGCGCAACTCACTGCACACAGTAATACTTACTTGAGAGTGTAGGCTTTAAAAGGGGCGTTGGGGTAGATGTAGTGACGCAGCCACCACTGCACTGTCATGTTCCAGAAGTGCATTCCGTGACGGACCTTAATACAGAAGTCGGTGTTGTAGCAGTCGATGTTCTGGATGGTTTTAAAGTCATACTTTTCCTCAACAGAAGGACCAGGGCTGGATGAGAACGAAGAGGTTGAAGAAAATAAACACACACTCTACTGACTCTTGCACCTTTATTTAGTGTCAGGTTAATGATATACCTGTAGTTGACAGTGGGTCCTCCCCCCGGTTTGGACAACGCCCCTTCTGGATAACAGCCCAGACCTGCACTGATACAAGCAGCCTCAGCTCCACACCAGGCTGCATAGAAACGCATCCGGAACACAAAGAACACAGCAACCATGTAGAACATTCTGGAACACAGAAGAGAGAGGGAGGGAGGGAGGGAGGGAGGGGGGAAGGGAAGGAAGAAAGGAAGGAAGAAAGGAAG